ATTATGTAAAAATTTACGTATAAGTTTGAAGACAAGATTTATATCTAATTTAAAATTAATTAACATTTATACCTAATTTAAAATTAATTCACAATAAATAAAATAATTTTTTTTCATTAAGATCACATGTTTCTTTATTATATCACCAATATAGAATTTCTCCACTTGACGTATTCAAGCTTGTAAAGTAAGGAATATGAATTCCTAAGGAAAAAGACTTCAGTGGAGTGCGTCCAAGGAAAAAGACTTTGGTGGAGTGTGTCCAAATCAGCTTTAGTTTTGGTGCAATTGATGGAGAGGAATGAATCAAAGTAATGACTCTTTTGATGCTAATAATTATGTTGAAGAATGTTATAAGTGCATATGGAAAAGAAGTGGTGGCAGCAAAAGGAAAAGGGGGCATGGGTAGCGAACTCTGGGGCACTGAAAGAAAGAAAATAATGATAACATCAGCATGCAGTCACCAAACTGATTGCATACCCCCCTCATACTTGCACTCTACGGTACAATATCACCATTTTGCTGCTATAACTTTGTTCATACGTGCTACCCTTCCAGACCTTGGTGAATGTGTCCAAAATAATTAAGATTGCCATAATATTGTGCATGTATAATATTTTCAAAACGTGTTTTGTAGTTCAAATTACAGAATACGAAACTCATAATATACTATCATTGTCATATCTGTTGGGTGTTTGCCATTATATTATAGCATATATATTTGGTAGAAAGAAGGAATCATACATTCAACTGAGGAAAAAGGAATAAGTAGAGTTTTCTGCTATTATTTGGTATGTATTGGTTTTCAAGAAAAAGAGTAGGCCTTTGATAACAGAACTACAAAAGGCCTGATCCACTCCCTCTAGCCCGGTAGCAAAAGCCTACCAAACCCGAAACCCCTCCCCAGGGCACGGTTCTGTTGACAAAATGATCCAACCCCATGTGAACACATAGATTTGTCTTGTGGCAAAATTTCTTCACAGGCCTAGTTAGTTGTGGGCTAACATTTAATTTGATTGAAATCATGCAAAATTGCATGAGGACCTCATTTAATGAGGTGTAGAGATTATTTATGGGTGATTGGGATTTTTTCCTATAAATACCCATGCGTGTAAAAGGTAATAGGAGCAAGCAAGAGAAGTTGAAAAGAGCCAGGTGAGTAAGTGTTATTGTGAGAGAACAAAAAAAGAGAGGAGAAATTATGAGATAATTCTTGTGAAAAGTAAAAGAAAATATTAGAGAGAATTTAAAATTTTTTATATATTGAAGTTAAAAGTGTTGACAATTTTTAAGTGAAAGAATTTTTAAATTATTATATTTTATTTAACAATAAATTCATTTGTCTCTTTCTCATGAATGTAAATTTGTTGGCGAGACAAATTAAACCACATTAAATTGTTATTTCCAATTCTTTATCACTGCTGATTGTGTAGGATAGTGGTGGCAAAAATTCCCGACAGGCTCTGCACTCAAAATCCACAAACCCAAACCCTCGGCTCACGAAACTAAAGATAATCAACCCCGCATCAAATATACAATGACTTAATTGATTAATTTATAATCTCTTTTAATTATAGTAAAGAATCTTAAATTTAACTCAAGTATATGCGTGAGGTGGTTAGACTTATGAAAGAGAATTACTTCATATTTTATATGAATACAACCAAGATAGTGACAAATTGACTACTCATCAAGAGTTCGAATAACAACAGTCTGTGTCAAGTGGTAAATGTTTTGACCATATTTTGTTAATTTGTGGGATACTCTGGTTCGCATGTATCATTCTAAATTCACCTCCTAGTTCAGTCAAAGTTTTATTACCTCTTGACATGTCAAAAATACAAATGGATGTACACTAGACTTCGAAGAGCAAAATTGACCCAGTTTGGCCTTGTAAAAGTTTTATTTGAGTAAAATTTTAGTGGAGTGATAAATCATAAACTAATTACATTAAACAAAAAATCTTAAAAATCAAATTCACAAACTAAACAACTAGCTAACCCTTTAGAAACTGAACAAAATTTAAAAGATATTTTCATAAAACTGCATTTTACTCAGTGCAATAAAGAAAATTGCATCTAACTCAGTATAATGAATCAACTAGTTTGGAATCCAACAACAAAAGGAACCGATTATGTAAAAGACAATGCATACCAGATGCACAAAATGGGCGGGAGCTAACTGAAAACAGTGAATAAAGAAAGCAAATAAAAAATTAATCTTTTCAACTAAGTCGCACATGAGATTTTTTTTTTTTTTGGACAATTGGGATATATACAACAGGGTTCTAACTTCTAATCCGGGGCTTACACAACTTGGAAGCCCAAGCTCTTACCCGTTGAGACACCCCTGAGGACGTTAGGAGCACAAATGATGATCTAGACTACCAAGAAAATAGGCAAAAAACCCAAATACACTCCCAAAGTATAGTGGCAGGATAGATCTACCCTCAAATAAAAAATGAAAACAAATCTACCCACAAAGTTTTCGACTTTGATAAATTACTTAATTACCTCAACTTTAACGTGTGACATCATCTAACGTTAGCATTCGTTTACGGATTTACGGGTTTGTTGCGTTTGTTTGTTTTCAATTTATTGGTTTGTTGTTTTTGGTTGCTTTCCCTTTTTTTTAATTTTAAGTTGTTTGTTCCAGTTGGAAATTTTTTTGGTTGGTTTTTTTTCGTTTTTTTTTTGGGGATGGATCTGTCCTTGCTACCATACTTTGGGAGTGGATCCGAGGCTTACACAACCTGGAGGCACAAGCTCTTACCCGTTGAGACACCCCCTGAGGACGTTAGGAGCACAAATGATGATCTAGACTACCAAGAAAATAAGACTCGTCCTATGGATCCAGTTTGAATTTTCTGTCCAGAAACCAGCTGCTCTTCTGAAGCAAATTTTTAACCTTAAAAGGCTAGTGGCACAGCTCACTATGGTTGTACATAATGCAAAAGCAAACACTTGGATCTTCTAATAATCAACCAAGCCAGCATCTTAAAATTTCTACCATCAAACACCATAAACAGATACACGGACCATGCTTCTTAAAATCCTGTATGTTCTCCACCAAATATTCAAAATTTCAAATCTATGTAACAAAGAAGGCAGTGAAAAAATAGATCTATTCTTTGTTTCTTTTGCCTGAAACAACTTCTCTTAGATCATTAAATTTCATACCAACTAATCTCTTCTTCTCTCGCCACACACACATAGTGCATGCCATCAACCTTAAAGTGTTTCGCCTCTACTTGGTTACCATAAAAAACTAAGGAAGAAAGGTTGTGAAATATACCCTCTCTATAACTGTCAATAAGAGCAGTGAGCATCATAAATAAAGCATTAGCATACAAACATCCGAAAAATCTATATTCTAATGCCCCATGACAAGTTGAAGAAGAGGATAACTCCTAGAACTATGAACCAACCTCCCAATTAAGTTTAACAAAACGTAACAAAATGAAACAAAAAGAAAGGCAAATGACGAGAGCAGTTCTTAATCACTCTTCATGCAGAAGCAAATCCCCAGCAGCTTATGGACTAATAATACACAAATTTAAGGGTAAACGAAAATAGAAAGTTTGCACCAACAGATAATTGTATAATGCAAAATTCATTGTGTTCTTACATGACATGAGAATTTCATTAACTAGAATGACAGTCACTAAAAAAAAGCATGAAAGTATTAATAACAAGAAAATTAACAGAAAAAAATTATATAACACTAAAAACAGAGTTGCATCAGCAGTAGCAGACCTGAGGCAGCATTAGTATCTGTAAATCGGCTAAACAAACCTGTAAACCATACCATTTGCAGCAAAAAATGGGGAGCTCTTCCTTGCCCGTTTTCAAAGCTCAAATTCTTCGTCTCTGAGAGCCATCTCTGCAGCCTCCTCCTCCTCTTCATCAAGAACAAAGTACTCATTTTTCTCTTCTGGCCTAAACATATAAAACATCACTATGTAGAATGCAAGGCTTGCAGTCTCCTCAGCAGCATTGCTCACCCATTGATACTTGTAAGCCGCGATTGTCTTGAGGGCGAAAACCACAATTCTTGTAAAATACAAGTAGCCAATCACCACCATATAGAACTGCCTGAACAGTGTAAGTTTGGCCAAGTTCTTGGCTGCTTTCCCATCGGTCTTTGAGGTCTCCCTGAGGGACCGAATAGACCAGACGATCGGGAAGATGATGGCGCAGCAGCAGATGATATCCACCAGCAAGAATACCTGGTTCCATGTTACCCAGTCCTTGATAAAGGGTCCAGTCTCGCCAATCACGACGGACGCAATGTTAGCTAAGACCTGAAGCGGGATCACAATCATCAACACCTTCTTCTCCCTCTCCTGCAAGAATGGCTTCAAAAAGGACCATCCCGTCCCGACCAACACAATAACTGTAAAAAGCAGCACAACACGAATGAATTGGAATATATAGAAGAGAACGTCCCACCCATGAGGCGTCCCCGTGACCTTCACGTAATGCTTATCCTCTGCAGCACAAATCAGATTCAACGCCTTAAAGAGCAGCAACCCACACATCAACAAATGGATCCGGTGGACTGAGCGTTTGTTGGTGTAACAGACGTAGATCCAGTAACCCAGGGCAGCAACATACAAGAGGGAGAAGAAGGCATAAAGAGAGGGGAGCTGGGTGAGGCCGGCGGAGAGGTAATCGTTAGAGCCATCGCTGTCGAGGTTAAAAACTTCGGTGCGGACGTTCATGGAGACGCGAGTCTCAGGGGCGCAGTTGGCGAAGAAGAGTGAGTATTCATTCGGTAAGGTGATGGGGTACGATCCGTTTAAAAGGGAGTGGGGAGGAGGGGAGAGATGGCGGAAGGTGAAGAGCGGGTGGACATGCTGAGACTCCAGGACGCATAAGTGGGGGTTTTGTTGGATCTCCAGGAGCACCTGAAGAAGAGACTCCTCCGAGAGAAGAAAAAAGCCGAGGCGAGAAGGATCCGGGTTGGGAGCGTTCGTGGAGGAGGAGACGGAGACGGAATCCACAACGATAGAAACGTGTCCGGTGTGTGTGAACCCGAATTTCTCGAAGAGGATCATCGGACGGGAGTCGGAATTAATGGTTAGGGTTTTGATCTCAGCGGTGGAGAGATAAAGGAAGGAAAGGAAGAGGAGGAGGATGAACGCCAGTCTTGCCATGTTGGGGAGGACGGTGGCGGCACTGCGATGGCGGTGGAAGGAGAGGGGAGAGAATGCTTGGCTTAGAAGGGAAATGGGCATTATTCCAGATCTAGTATAACTTTTTTAATTTTTAGTAAATTTTCAGATCTAGTATAGTTTTTTTTATTATTGTTGTTACGAGGGAGAAATTTAAATTTTTATAAAAAAATAAAATTTTAACTTTTCAAAAAGTAAAAAATAAATAAATAAGAAGTTTAAGAAAATATTTAGATTTTAAATTTTTGAAGTTTTACTTCTTACAAGTTTTTTTAAATTAAAAAAATATTTAAAAATATAATTTTTAAAAAAAAAATTTTAAATTCATGATCTAATGAATAATACGAAAAACTTAATAGCAGCTGCACTAAACAGGCTCGAAGACGGTGATAGAAAACGACGTCGGCTCCGCTATCTTAAACATTGGGCTTGGCTTGGCTTATAGATTTTGACGTGGATCGATTTTTCGGCCTGGTATATATCAATGGGCTGAGGAATTTAAGATCCAAAATAATCTAACCGAGAAGGGTCAGCCCATGGTTGAAAAGCTCGACTCAAATGGGAAGAAAGAACCCAACTTCTAAATAGTACTCTTTACTATAATACTATCATATTCATAATTTCATACCACCACAGATATTTTAATTGATAGTAACCACTTATTAATTCGAGTGAAAAGTCCTTGATTTTTTAAAAATAAGTTTTGAATTTAAATTTTATTAAATTTAGATTTTATAAATTAAAAAATAAGTGTTGTAAGATTTTTTTTTTTATAAGATTAGATGTAGTTTGACTCTAACTTAATAGGAGTTCATTTTCATTTTTTAGTTTCTAAAAAGATAATAATAAAAAAAGATAATGATAGAGGTGATGATTTTATGGGAGGAAAAGAAAGGATATAGGTGTTGTAAAGTTAAAGTGTAGGATCTAAAATAATCCATTTTGACTTTACCATACTTATTGTCTTTCATTTTTGTTTCATAAAATCGTCCTTTTTATCATTATCCTAAAAAAAATACATGTATTTTAATTGATTTGTTTTCCTTTTATTTTGAGTTTATTCCCCAACCGAATGCATAGGACTTGAATTCATTCAAAATTCCGTTGCCAACTGATATCTATATTATTTTGCAAGATGATTCATTATGATATGTAAGGTGTGCTAATTTTTTTAAAAAAAATCTTTTTTAACTGCATGTAGGAGACAATTTTTATAATCTTTTTACTCCCTTCACTCCCGTACGTCTATAATTTGAACTTAAATTTTTAAAAGAAATTATTACAGTATTATTAATATTTATGTCTTTAATATTAAAGAAGTGTTGCTAAAAGGCTTAATTTAATAAATAGTTTGGTAATTTTTATATTTTTTATTTTATCAAGTATTTTTAAATACTTTTAGATTTATTTACTACTTTCTACTTTTATTTTAATTTAATCTAATTTGTTAACTTTTTAATAATAGCTTCACTCCATTTGCTCAAGTTGATTTTCAACTATATTTTTTATAAATTTTTATTCTTGAAATTAATTTTGAGAAAAAACTAATATTTTGAGGAAAATAAGTTTATTTTTAATGTGTAAAGAAATGTAACATTTATCACATGTTTTAATTTCTATTTTTAATGATTCTCCTTTATAGCAAAGACCACAGTTATTGACTCTAATTATTGATATGTTTTAATAGTTTATATAATTTGTTGTGAATTATTTTGTTAGTTGAGATTATTTTATTTTTATTTTAATTTAATTTTTTTGTTATTTTTTTATTAAAACTAATAAAAATTTTATAAATTAAATTATTTTAAAATATTTTACAAAATTTATAAATTATTTTTAAAAAACTAAATTTTTAGTGTGAAATAAAATTAAAATAATATTTAATACACCACTCATTGAATTAAGCCAATCTTTAAAACAAGAATCCACACAAACCAACTTTAAACGGTTTAGCGAAAACTTGACAAAATGCTTTTCTTGGGTCAGTGTCTCAAGGACTACGTAAGTCGCATAAAAGCATCCACATTAGTATTATTCACTCACAGTCGCATAAGAGCATCCACATTAGTATTATTTACTCAAATGTAATATCTTTTTTTGCTAATGTTATTTTACTCAATCTACAAAAATATTATCTAAGTGATACTTTTAATTTCAATACTAAGACCAAAGTGTTACTTCTCAAAAATTATGTGGACTTAAAATTTTAAAAATGTTTAAAAGTAAGGATGGTATGCCCACAACGGTAAATTTTTATTTTTAATTTTTTATCTTAATAAATTTATAAGTTTTAGTCCCTCAATTATATTATGACATTTTTAATCTCTTACTTATATGGATTGAAGAAAATAGTCATTACTTAATATGAGATTATAATGTTCATCAATCAACTGTTAACATTCCGTTTGTTAACAGTCTATCAACTGATTGTTAACAGTGATAAGAACAAAGTTAACGGAATGTTAATAATCAGAAGACAAATGTTATAAATTGATATTAAATAAGGATTATTTTTTCAATTCATATATGTAAATGATTATTTTCTTTAATTCGTAAAGATGAAGGGTTAAAAATGTCACAATGTAAGATAAATGATTAAAACTTATAAATTTATTAAGGTAAAAAAGTAAAAATAAATTTTTACCTACCCACAACTCACAACAACCCAAAAAAAAAAAAAAAGAGAAAAATGAGCTCCACTGGAGTTTAATTATAGGAAAATTTATTGTATAGTCTATATTAGACTAAATTATATAATAAAAATTGTTTAATAAGACATTAATATTAATATTTTTTTTATTTTTTTACTATTTTTATTTTATAATTTAAATTATAAAATAAAAAAACATTAACTTTAACCCAGTGTGGATGCTCTAATACCGCAAGGAACATGTACAACACGTTTACAATCCTTTAATCGTTTCACCAACTTTAGTAGAAACCCTTACCCACACATTTAATTAGACGAGTAGGTGCACCGGTGCACCCTTATGCCCACAAGAAAAGGCTTCATAGCTTCAATCTTTTTCCATTATACCTCAACGTGATTCATGCCGGAATAATGAGATGTACGAACAAGTCTTTTTTGAACAAAGTGTCAAGGGATTCGAACTTCGAATCTCATATGGAGAAGGAAATTGCACTTTTAAAATGATCCGAAAACCACTTAACCCGAAAAGTCAAGTGCAGATGTACGAACAAATCAAGCTGAACATTCACTAATTCATCGGGGCAATTAAAACTGTTCAAATCAAATCTCAGTTTAGTTTTACTTAATTTTTAGTGCGAGTTTAAATTGATATTAAACTTAAGACTTTGTTCTAATATCGCCGTTATTAATTTTTAGTGTTTCGTTTTAAATTTTTTTAAATATTTTTTTTAGTAACATATTTTGTACTGATTTAAAAACTTAAAATTACTAATATATAATTTTTTTTAATATGGAAAAACTACTCTAGTACTAGTAAAACTTGAAAAATTTTACAACATAATTACTGCATGCCAATAATATTAAGGATTTTGGGATAGTGCATACGTTTATTTATATTATTTTAAAAAATAAATAGAAAAAAGAGAGATTTTTTTTTATGATAATATGATTAATTAAAATAAATGATAATAATAGAATTAAAGTAAGAAAAATATTATCTACTTTTAAAAATAAAAAAATATTTAATTTGAGATAAATTTAAAGTAAAACAAAATGATAAAAGTAGTTATTTAGAATGCAAGAAGTATAAAAAAGTGAAAATAGAACATTTTAATATTTTATAAAACTATTTAAATATGTTTAATAAATCAAAGTAAACATACAAAAAAGATTTATTAATAATATTTAAGTCATTTTATAATCATTTCGTACTCACATTATTTCAACTTTAATAGGTTTAGTTTTTTTTAAAAAAATAAAATATACACTATAATAATTAATTTATAAAATTTTATATTTATGCCTAATTAATCATTACTTACATAAGTTTTATTATTTAATATATATTGTAATTATATCATCAAAAAATTATTATAATTATCTTATATGAATTAACACATGAAATAACATTCTAAAAAATAGCAATTAAATTTAAACACCTAATCAAATTACAAATTAGCCTTATAAAATTAAAGAGAAGAAATAACATTTTAATAATTATTTTTTGACTATTTTCTTCAATTAAATATTTGAAGATATTTTATGTATTTACTTATATTATTCTTAAAAAAGAAATAAAAAATAATGGTAAGTATTTTATGATAATATGATTAA